GATTACTACGGCCACGGCAATGACTACTACAATTCTGGCAAGGGTTACGGTGGCGACTACTACCCGAATTACTACTCGTCATATGGTGTTGGCAACGGATACGGCTACTACCCCGACTACTACTCGTCGTACGATGGTGGGTATGGCAATGGAAATGGAGACTACCCGGACTACTCTTCTTCTTACGGCTACCCCAGTTACGGCGGCTACGGCTACTCCAGCTACGGGTACCCGGGCTACTTTGGTTATGAGTCGGCCACAGCGAGTGTCGGTGCTACTGGTGGCGAGAAAGAGTCTGCGACTGCGAATGGTCAGAAGGAGTCTGCGACTGTGGCCACGGACGCTGCCGACGTCAAGTCGGTCAAGAAGGAGAGCAAGACGGAGTCGAAGGCAATGAAGGAGACCAAGTCGGACGCCACCGACAAGTCGAAGGACAAGTAAAATCAAGCTGAATCTGTTCGAAATAAGTAGAAAAACGTAGTAAGCCGGCGTGTGACTGTGTAGCGTAGAAAATTGAAGTGGCAGCTGTAATGAATACAAAGCCAATGGATGTGATCGGTTAAAATGATATCGGTCACCAGATTATCATATTGCACAGGTGGTTGGGCAGCAACGGTAAGAGTAGAGCCTTACGATGTACTTCGAAGTACTGTAGACCTTGTTTGAGTACTAGTAGTAGTAGTAGTAGTGGCTGAAGATATGAAACTTTTTTGAGGTAGTAGTCGAAATCTTTGCTGATGTAGTAGTCCTATGGTTGATTACTTTTGCTGGAATAGTAGTAGTAGCTTTTGAAAAAGTAGATATATTCGCGTGATCTTGCATTCGAATATACTTCTAGTATATTTTTTTCTAAACAACGATGCCTGCAGTCTATTACTTATTGTTAACCCGACTCATTCTCTCAACGGTTCTCTTTCATCGTCTTCCCGATCAATCACAGCGATCGAAGAGAGACAATGCCACGACGAGAGATGACCACGATGGCTGACAACATCAACGCCCAGACCGCAGCTCGATCGGACTAACCTCCTCGCTCTTTCACTTGTCATCTCGCTTCCTCCCTGACACTCCACAACCAACCTCCAGCTCCATCAACTAGTTTTGCAACTGCCCAACAAGATGCACTCCAAATTTCTCGCCATAGTGGGCCTGTGTGTCGCTGCTTCTATTCTGTATGCAACTGACGCTGCTACTAGAATGAACCCGCGTCGTCAACTCGGGTCGTACAAGGACTACGACCACCACCAGCACAAGCACGACCACGACCACAAGAAACACTACCACCACGACAAGAAGGACCACCCGCACTACTACCGTCGTCGCCTGGAAGGTAAGGACGCCAAGGCTACCGATTATAAGGACACCAAGGCTACCGAGTCTTCCGACTACAGCTACGGCAAAGACGATTATGGTCACAACCACGACCACCACGGCTATGGTCATGATGACTATGGTCACGATGACTGTGGCCGCGATAGCTACGGCCACGATGATTATAAGCACAGCGACTACAAGCACAAAGGCTACGGATACGGTAGCGGCGACGACTACAAGGGCTATGGTAGCGGCTACAGCTACAGCTATAAGAGCTATGGAGGCGACTGCGATGATTACTACGGCCACGGCAATGACTACTACAATTCTGGCAAGGGTTACGGTGGCGACTACTACCCGGATTACTACTCGTCATATGGTGTTGGCAACGGATACGGCTACTACCCCGACTACTACTCGTCGTACGATGGTGGGTATGGCAATGGAAATGGAGACTACCCGGACTACTCTTCTTCTTACGGCTACCCCAGTTACGGCGGCTACGGCTACTCCAACTACGGGTACCCGGGCTACTTTGGTTATGAGTCGGCCACAGCGAGTGTCGTTGCTACTGGTGGTGAGAAAGAGTCTGCGACTGCGAATGGTCAGAAGGAGTCTGCGACTGTGTCTACGGACGCTGCCGACGTCAAGTCGGTCAAGAAGGAGAGCAAGACGGAGTCGAAGGCGTCGAAGGAGGCCAAGTCGGACGCCACCGACAAGTCGAAGGACAAGTAAAATCAAGCTGAAACCGTGTGAGAAAAGTAGTATATGGGTGAAAGACGTTGTAAGCCCGCGTTGAACTGTGTAGCGTAGAAAACTAAAGTGGCAGGTGTGAGGAATACAAAGCCAATGGATGTGATCGCTTTACCATGTTAAAGTGACATGTGTCCCCGAATTATCAGTTGCTAAAGTCGTTAGCGATGTGGATCAATGCTCCGATTGCAGCAGCGGTAGAGTAGAATCTAACGATATAGAGCAGAAACCAAGAATTACAGCACGCGGACGTGCAATCACTGTCAATCTGCATGAGTTTGCAAAACAAACCTTGTGTCATATACAAGTAAGACTCATCAGTGCATTCATTTCTCTCCTTATGCAGTGCTCCGCTAGTGGAGTCGTGTACAGCAGTGGTGTAGGGCTTGTTTGAGTATCCGTAGTAGTAGTAGTAGTGGCAGTAGCAGTAGCCTGTAGTAGTGGCAGTAGTCGTAGTAGTAGTAGTAGTGGTGGCAGTAGTCGTCGTCGTCGTCGTAGTAGTAGTAGTAGTAGTAATAGTGGAAGTCACTGAAGGAATTGAAGTTGTTTTAAAGTAGTAGTCCAAAAATTGCTGACAAACTAATACAAGTGGCCGCTGTTGTTTTTGTTGTTGCAATAATAGTACCTCGAAGTATTAGATTGTGTAAGTATTCGTGTGATCCTGCATTCTCAAAATACGTCTAATATACTTCTCCTAGCTGCATAACTACAGTTTGCAGTCTATCACTTATTGTTGACTCGACTCATTCTCTCAACGCTTCTCTCTCATCGTCTTCTCGATCAATCACAGCGAGCGAAGAAAGACAATGCCACGACGAGGGGTGACCACGATGGCTGATGCAACATCAACGCCCAGACCGCAGCTCGATCGGACTAGCCTCCTCGCTCTCTCACTTGTCATCTCGCTTCCTCCCTGACACTCGACAACCAACCTCCAGCTCCATCAACTAGTTTTGCAACTGCCCAACAAGATGCACTCCAAATTTGTCGCCATAGTGGGCCTGTGAGTCGCTGCTTCTATTCTGCATGCGACTGACGCTGCTAATAGAATGCCCCCACGTCGTCAACTCGGGTCTTACAAGGACTACGGCCACAGCCAGCACAAGCACGACCACGACCGCAAGAAACACCACCACCACGACAAGCACCACCACCCACGACACGAAGGACGCACTCGCGCTACTACCGTCGCCGCCTCGAAGATAAGGACACCAAGGCTACCGATTATAAGGACACCAAGGCTACCGAGTCTTCAGACTACAGCTACGGCAAAGGCGATTATGGTCACGGGCACGACTACCACGGCTATGGTCATGATGACTATGGTCACGATGACTGTGGCCGCGATAGCTACGGCCACGATGATTATAAGCACAACGACTACAAGCACAACGGCTACGGATACGTTAGCGGCGACGACTACAAGGGCTATGGTAGCGGCTACAGCTACAGCTATAAGAACTATGGAGGCGACTCCGACGACTACTACGGTCACGGCAACGACTACTACCCTGATTACTACTCGTCATATGGTGGTGGCAACGGCAACGGCTACTACCCCGACTACTACTCGTCGTACAATGGTGGGTATGGAAATGGAAATGGATACTACCCGGACTACTACTCTTCCTACGGCTACCCAAGTTACGGCGGTTACGGCAACTCCAACTACGGGTACCCGGGCTACTTTGGTTATGAGTCGGCCACAGCAAGTGTCGGTGCTACTGGTGACGAGAAAGAGTCTGCGACTGCGAATGGTCAGAAGGAGTCTGCGACTGTGTCTACGGACGCTGCCGACGTCAAGTCGGTCAAGAAGTAGAGCAAGACGGAGTCGAAAGGCGTCGAAGGAGGCAAGTCGGACGCCACCGACAAGTCGAAGGACAAGTAAAATCAAGCTGAAACCGTGTGAGAAAAGTAGTATATGGGTGAAAGACGTTGTAAGCCCGCGTTGAACTGTGTAGCGTAGAAAACTAAAGTGGCAGGTGTAAGGAATACAAAGCCAATGGATGTGATCGCTTTACCATGTTAAAGTGACATGTGTCCCCGAATTATCAGTTGCTTAAGTCGTTTGCGATGTGGATCAATGCTCCGATTGCAGCAGCGGTAGAGTAGAAGCTTACGATATAGAGTAGAAACCAAGAATTACAGCACGCGGACGTGCAATCACTGTCAATCTGCGTGAGTTTGCAAAACAAACCTTGTGCCATCAACAAGAAGACTCATCAGTGCATTCATTCCTCTCCTTATGCAGTGCTCCGCTAGTGGAGTCGTGTACAGCAGTGGTGTAGGGAGCCTATCGACAAGTTGCCCTTGTTTGAGTATCCGTCGTAGTAGTAGTAGTGGCAGTAGCAGTATCCGTAGTAGTAGAAGTAGTAGTAGTGGCAGTAACAGTAGCCGTAGTAGTAGTAGTAGAAGTGGCAGTAGTAGTAGTCGTCGTAGTAGTACTACTAGTAGTAGTAGTAGTACTAGTGGAAGTTACTGAAGGAATTGAAACTGTTTTGAAGTAGTAGTCCAAAAATTGCTGACAAAGTAAACAAGTGGCCGCTGTTGCTGTTTTTGTTGTTGCAATAATAGTACCTCGAAGTATTCGATTGTGTAAGTATTCGTGTGATCCTGCATTCTCAAAATACGTCTAATATACTTCTCCTAGTCCGTGATGTCTGCATAACTACAGTTTGCAGTCTATCACTTATTGTTGACTCGACTCATTCTCTCAACGCTTCTCTCTCATCGTCTTCTCGATCAATCACAGCGAGCGAAGAAAGACAATGCCACGACGAGGGGTGACCACGATGGCTGATGCAACATCAACGCCCAGACCGCAGCTCGATCGGACTAGCCTCCTCGCTCTCTCACTTGTCATCTCGCTTCCTCCCTGACACTCGACAACCAACCTGCAGCTCCATCAACTACTTTTGCACCTGCCCAACAAGATGCACTCCAAATTTGTCGCCATAGTGGGCCTGTGTGTCGCTGCTTCTATTCTGCATGCGACTGACGCTGCTAATAGAATGCCCCCACGTCGTCAACTCGGGTCGTACGAGGACTACGACCACCACCAGCACAAGCACGACCACGACCACAAGAAACACTACCACCACGACAAGAAGGACCACCCGCACTACTACCGTCGTCGCCTGGAAGGTAAGGACCCCAAGGCTACCGATTATAAGGACACTAGGGCTAGCGAGTCTTCAGACTACAGCTACGGCAAAGACGATTATGCTCACAACCACGACCACCACGGATATGCTCGTGATGACTATGGTCACGATGACTGTGGCCGAGATAGCTACGCCCACGATGTTTATAAGCACAGGGACTACAAGCACAAAGGCAACGGATACGGTAGCGGCGACGACTACAAGGGATATGGTAGCGGCTACAGCTACAGCTATAAGAGCTATGGAGGCGACTGCGATGATTACTACGGCCACGGCAATGACTACTACAATTCTGGCAAGGGTTACGGTGGCGACTACTACCCGGATTACTACTCGTCATATGGTGTTGGCAACGGATACGGCTACTACCCCGAATACTACTCGTCGTACGATGGTGGGTATGGCAATGGAAATGGAGACTACCCGGACTACTCTTCTTCTTACGGCTACCCCAGTTACGGCGGCTACGGCTACTCACGTCTACGGGTACCCGGGCTACTTTGGTTATGAGTCCTCTCGACAGCGAGTGTCGGTGCTACTGGTGACGAGAAAGAGTCTGCGACTGCGAATGGTCAGAAGGAGTCTGCGACTGTGTCTACGGACGCTGCCGACGTCAAGTCGGTCAAGAAGGAGAGCAAGACGGAGTCGAAGGCGTCGAAGGAGGCCAAGTCGGACGCCACCGACAAGTCGAAGGACAAGTAAAATCAAGCTCAAACCGTGTGAGAAAAGTAGTATATGGGTGAAAGACGTTGTAAGCCCGCGTTGAACTGTGTAGCGTAGAAAACTAAAGTGGCAGGTGTAAGGAATACAAAGCCAATGGATGTGATCGCTTTACCATGTTAAAGTGACATGTGTCCCCGAATTATCAGTTGCTTAAGTCGTTTGCGATGTGGATCAATGCTCCGATTGCAGCAGCGGTAGAGTAGAAGCTTACGATATAGAGTAGAAACCAAGAATTACAGCACGCGGACGTGCAATCACTGTCAATCTGCGTGAGTTTGCAAAACAAACCTTGTGTCATATACAAGTAAGACTCATCAGTGCATTCATTTCTCTCCTTATGCAGTGCTCCGCTAGTGGAGTCGTGTACAGCAGTGGTGTAGGGAGCCTATCGACAAGTTGAGTATCCGTAGTAGTAGTAGTAGTGGCAGTAGCAGTATCCGTAGTAGTAGAAGTAGTAGTAGTGGCAGTAGCAGTAGCCGTAGTAGTAGTAGTGGCAGTAGCAGTAGCCGTAGTAGTGGCAGTAGTCGTAGTAGTAGTAGTAGTAGTGGTGGCAGTAGTCGTCGTCGTCGTCGTAGTAGTAGTAGTAGTAGTAATAGTGGAAGTCACTGAAGGAATTGAAGTTGTTTTAAAGTAGTAGTCCAAAAATTGCTGACAAACTAATACAAGTGGCCGCTGTTGTTTTTGTTGTTGCAATAATAGTACCTCGAAGTATTAGATTGTGTAAGTATTCGCGTGATCCTGCATTCTCAAAATACGTCTAATATACTTCTCCTAGCTGCATAACTACAGTTTGCAGTCTATCACTTATTGTTGACTCGACTCATTCTTTCAACGCTTCTCTCTCATCGTCTTCTCGATCAATCACAGCGAGCGAAGAAAGACAATGCCACGACGAGGGGTGACCACGATGGCTGATGCAACATCAACGCCCAGACCGCAGCTCGATCGGACTAGCCTCCTCGCTCTCTCACTTGTCATCTCGCTTCCTCCCTGACACTCGACAACCAACCTCCAGCTCCATCAACTAGTTTTGCAACTGCCCAACAAGATGCACTCCAAATTTGTCGCCATAGTGGGCCTGTGTGTCGCTGCTTCTATTCTGCATGCGACTGACGCTGCTAATAGAATGCCCCCACGTCGTCAACTCGGGTCTTACAAGGACTACGGCCACAGCCAGCACAAGCACGACCACGACCGCAAGAAACACCACCACCACGACAAGAAGGACCACTCGCGCTACTACCGTCGCCGCCTCGAGATAAGGACACCAAGGCTACCGATTATAAGGACACCAAGGCTACCGAGTCTTCGAACTACAGCTACGGCAAAGAGGATTATCGTCACGGGCACGACCACCAGGGCTATGGCCATGATGACTATGGTCACGATGACTGTGGCCGCGATAGCTACGGCCACGATGATTATAAGCACAACGGCTACGGATACGGTAGCGGCGACGACTACAAGGGCTATGGTAGCGGCTACAGCTACAGCTATAATAGCTATGGAGGCGACTCCGACGACTACTACGGTCACGGCAACGACTACTACCCTGATTACTACTCGTCATATGGTGGTGGCAACGGCAACGGCTACTACCCCGACTACTACTCGTCGTACAATGGTGGGTATGGAAATGGAAATGGATACTACCCGGACTACTACTCTTCCTACGGCTACCCCAGTTACGGCGGCTACGGCAACTCCAACTACGGGTACCCGGGCTACTTTGGTTATGAGTCGACCACAGCGAGTGTCGGTGCTACTGGTGACGAGAAAGAGTCTGCGACTGCGAATGGTCAGAAGGAGTCTGCGACTGTGTCTACGGACGCTGCCGACGTCAAGTCGGTCAAGAAGGAGAGCAAGACGGAGTCGAAGGCGTCGAAGGAGGCCAAGTCGGACGCCACCGACAAGTCGAACGACAAGTAAAATCAAGCTGAACCCGTGTGAGAAAAGTAGTATATGGGTGAAAGACGTTGTAAGCCCGCGTTGAACTGTGTAGCGTAGAAAACTAAAGTGGCAGGTGTAAGGAATACAAAGCCAATGGATGTGATCGCTTTACCATGTTAAAGTGACATGTGTCCCCGAATTATCAGTTGCTTAAGTCGTTTGCGATGTGGATCAATGCTCCGATTGCAGCAGCGGTAGAGTAGAAGCTTACGATATAGAGTAGAAACCAAGAATTACAGCACGCGGACGTGCAATCACTGTCAATCTGCGTGAGTTTGCAAAACAAACCTTGTGCCATCAACAAGAAGACTCATCAGTGCATTCATTCCTCTCCTTATGCAGTGCTCCGCTAGTGGAGTCGTGTACAGCAGTGGTGTAGGGAGCCTATCGACAAGTTGCCCTTGTTTGAGTATCCGTCGTAGTAGTAGTAGTGGCAGTAGCAGTATCCGTAGTAGTAGAAGTAGTAGTAGTGGCAGTAGCCGTAGTAGTAGTAGTAGAAGTAGTAGTAGTGGCAGTAGCCGTAGTAGTACTACTACTACTAGTAGTAGTACTAGTGGAAGTTACTGAAGGAATTGAAACTGTTTTGAAGTAGTAGTCCAAAAATTGCTGACAAAGTAAACAAGTGGCCGCTGTTGCTGTTTTTGTTGTTGCAATAATAGTACCTCGAAGTATTCGATTGTGTAAGTATTCGTGTGATCCTGCATTCTCAAAATACGTCTAATATACTTCTCCTAGTCCGTGATGTCTGCATAACTACAGTTTGCAGTCTATCACTTATTGTTGACTCGACTCATTCTCTCAACGCTTCTCTCTCATCGTCTTCTCGATCAATCACAGCGAGCGAAGAAAGACAATGCCACGACGAGGGGTGACCACGATGGCTGATGCAACATCAACGCCCAGACCGCAGCTCGATCGGACTAGCCTCCTCGCTCTCTCACTTGTCATCTCGCTTCCTCCCTGACACTCGACAACCAACCTCCAGCTCCATCAACTAGTTTTGCAACTGCCCAACAAGATGCACTCCAAATTTCTCGCCATAGTGGGCCTGTGTGTCGCTGCTTCTATTCTGCATGCGACTGACGCTGCTAATAGAATGCCCCCACGTCGTCAACTCGGGTCTTACAAGGACTACGGCCACAGCCAGCACAAGCACGACCACGACCGCAAGAAACACCACCACCACGACAAGAAGGACCACCCGCACTACTACCGTCGTCGCCTGGACGGTAAGGCCCCAAGGCTACCGATTATAAGGACACCAAGGCTACCGAGTCTTCGGACTACAGCTACGGCAAAGGCGATTATGGTCACAGGCACGACCACCACGGCTATGGTCATGATGACTATGGTCACGATGACTGTGGCCGCGATAACTACGGCCACATTGATTATAAGCACCTCGACTACAAGCACAAAGGCTACGAATACGTTAGTGGCGACGACTACAAGGGCTATAATAACGGCTACAGCTACAGCTATAAGAACTATGGAGGCGACTCCGACGACTACTACGGTCACGGCAACGACTACTACCCTGATTACTACTCGTCATATGGTGGTGGCAACGGCAACGGCTACTACCCCGACTACTATTCGTCGTACAATGGTGGGTATGGCAATGGAAATGGATACTACCCGGACTACTACTCTTCCTACGGCTACCCCAGTTACGGCGGCTACGGCTACTCCAACTACGGGTACCCGGGCTACTTTGGTTATGAGTCGGCCACAGCAAGTGTCGGTGCTACTGGTGACGAGAAAGAGTCTGCGACTGCGAATGGTCAGAAGGAGTCTGCGACTGTGTCTACGGACGCTGCGACTGTGTCTACGGACGCTGCCGACGTCAAGTCGGTCAAGAAGGAGAGCAAGACGGAGTCAAAGGCGTCGAAGGAGACCAAGTCGGACGCCACCGACAAGTCGAAGGACAAGTAAAATCAAGCTGAACCGTGTGAGAAAAGTAGTATATGGGCGAAAGACATTGAAAGCCCGCGTTGAACTGTGTAGCGTAGAAAACTAAAGTGGCAGGTGTAAGGAATACAAAGCCAATGGATGTGATCGCTTTACCATGTTAAAGTGACATGTGTCCCCGAATTACCAGTTGCTAAAGTCGTTTGCGATGTGGATCAATGCTCAGTAGAACCTTACGATATAGAGTAGAAACCAAGAATTACTGCACGCAGACGTGCAATCACTGTCAATCTGCGTGAGTTTGCAAAACAAACCTTGTGTCATATACAAGTAAGACTCATCATTGCATTCATTTCTCTCCTTATGCAGTGCTCTGCTAGTGGAGTCGTGTACGGCAGTGGTGTAGAGAGCCTATAGACAAGGTGCGGTAGTTGCCCTTGTTTGAGTAGTAGTAGTAGTAGTGGCAGTAGCCGTAGTAGTAGTAGCAGTAGTGGCAGTAGCCGTTGTAGTAGTAGTAGTAATAGAAGAAGTCACTGAATCAGTGTGCCCCATGTTACATAAAGAGTGACCCGTCACTCTTGTGGATACCTGATTACACGGTACCACGGAACCAGTCATGGCATGACTACTTAGCTTCACTATAGGTAACCTCTAGTCTGTATGTGACCCAAGCTTATAAATACATCAGTCTTAAATCTACTCCTCTAAGTAGCAAACCGTTCCCACTGAGGCCGAGAACACGTGGACTTACGTTCACTCGGGTAGTTAATACCCTTAAGCACTTCCTCTGTGCAAGGTGCTGTGTGACCCCGTCACACTTGGTAGCACTCGTAGTCAATCCAACACCATCGCGGGTAGATTGAGCTACCTGAATCCTCTGTGCGCTCAACGTTTGAGCCAAGATGGACCGAAGCGAGTTTCCTCGC